ACCAGCCTTCATGTAGGCATGAGTCTGTCAGTAGGGGACGATAATTGATGTGTAATCTCCATTATGTAATTTCTGGATGTTTGGAATTACCCAAATATTGACCATGACACTAACATGCAATGACTGCGTTTTGAATGACACAATAGTATGTGTACATCCGCTGTTAAGCAGACGGTGCATATTTTGGTTAATATTACTGGAGTAGACAGGGGTGCCTGTCTGATTTGAACCTTGAACTTCTGCAATAAATAGAGAATGTGCTACCACCTGGCTTCCCTCAATCTGAGTAGGCATGGCAGCCTGAATGTTCCTAACTGGTGCAGATGGTCCTTTTAGAGGGGTCCACGTTTCACATGCCTATAGAAGGGAGGGTATGACTGTGGCCGAGAAGACCCGAAGCTCCGTGCGGAGGGACAGACCAGGTAGCTTCCACACAGCATCGCGCAGCTGATGAAACGATAATGCCGCCTGACTGATTCGGACCACCCACACACTGTACGCACATACGCAGTGTAGACGTATTATGTACACATACAGCGGAAACACACAGTGTACCCGCACAGTATACAACAACCACCATTCGCCACTAAGTGGCGGTGACGTCACCACGACGCTTGTGCCAGGCTATGTGCACCTTGAGGCCACGTGAAGTGTCGAACGCCCGCTGGCAGGAGGTCACGGGGCAGAGCCAGGTGCCACGGGTCAACTTACTGAGATGAGTGGGTGATGCACCACCTGTGCCCCCTATTGTGCCAACTTGCTGTGCTTTAGCCACCCGGCGCTCCACTCGTTGTGACCGTCGCTCCTCCGCCCTCCTTTGTTGTTGGAGGGCGACTGCCTCCAACTGCCCAGTAGAGTCCTTCACGAGCCTCCTTCACAAAAGCCGATCTTGACACCGCTGGTACCAGTCATCGGTAAGTCCACTCAGCTCCACATCCTCCTGTATCACATCACTCAATTTCTTCTCTAGCCCATGCCGCGCCCGTTTAGCCCCCTCGATCCGGCCAAACAAAAGCTGTTTAGGCATGCGGTGACTTGGTATGCGGGCTACATGGCCCAGCCAACGCAGCCTATCCTGCCGGAGGAGCTCACCGATGGGACTTTATCAACATCTTTCAAGGATTTGTGAGCTTCTCACACAATCCAGCCTGGTTAAACCCAGGATGGATCGTAGGCAGGCCAGCATAAATGTTTCTAACCAGCGAAGATGTTCCATTAGGGGGGTCCATGTTTTCCAAGCGTAGAGAAGGGAGGGAATGACTGTGGCCGAGAAGACCTGAAACTTCGTGCGGAGCGACAGACGAGGTAGCTTCCGCACAGCATTACGCAACCGATGAAAATATAATGCCGCTCGACTGATTCGGAGTGAGACCTCTGCTGTTAAATCGGAGCCGGTCATAAGCACACTGCCCAGATATGGGAAACTTTACACTTTCTCCACAACTGCCCCATCACCAATTGGGAGTTGTGGGTGTGGAGTGTCCCATTGTACAAAATACCCTGGCAGGTGCTTAGATTTGGTGGGGCTGATGGTAAGGCCCCACCTCTTAGTGGCAAGCTCCAGGTTTATCAGCAGTGAGCAGCGATTACCAGATCATCGGCATACATAACATGGTTGAGCAATAGGGAGCCATCCCTTGGCCGCACCCGAGCATCGATCAGCCTCCCATTATATCTGTACCAGATGGAAATTCCTTCTGTACAGCTATTGAAGGCCTCACGAACTACGTGGTCAAAATAGATGTTAAATAATGTCGGAGCGAGAGGACATCCCTGTCACACCCCAAGGTGTACAGCGAATGGCTCCGACTCCCGGCCACGCAGTTTTACCCAGGCCCACTCACCATCATGAAGGTCCTAATTATCGTGAGCAGAGGGTCAGGGACTCCGAAAGCTCGAAGAACAACCCAGAGCCCAGGCCTCCTGATGGTATCGTAGGCCTTGACCAGGTCAATAAAGCAGAGATGTAAGTCTTGTTGGAATTCCCTATACCTCTGCTGTAGCAGACGGAGAGAAAATATGGCATCCGTGCAGGACCACCCTTTCCTGAAACCACATTGAGGCTCCACAAGCCTCTCCTCAGCGTGCCTAGCAAGGCGATGTTGAATAATCTTTGCCAGGACCTTTCCCGGCACACTGAGGAGTGAGATGCCCCTGTAGTTGTTATAGTCTGTGCGGGCTCCCTTTTTAAATAGGGGGACCACCAGGGCATCCTTCCAGTCCTGCGGAACCCGTCCCGTGGTCCAGACTGTTGTTATGATATCATGTAGGGCAGTCTGTGCACAAACGCCACCCTCCCTCAGCATTTCGCTTGGGAGATCATCTCTGCCCGGTGCCTTTCCTGGTCTCAGACTCTGGATCGCCTTTAGTACTTCCTCAACAGATGGCACCTCAGCCAGCCACTCACAGGGGGTGACTTCTTCAAATATTTGGGGCACCGCAGCCTCCGTAGGGTCATCTCCACTTTGTCCCACGATGTTTCCCATGTCGAGGGATTTCCCCTCCCCCAGGACTTCACAAAAATGCTCAGCAAATCTGCAAACCTGTTCCTGGCAGTCGGAAATTGGATCACCGTTTTTTCCCAAAATGATGGTAAAAGGTGTGGCGCTGCAGGATACTTTTTTGATGGAGTTAAATCGGGATTTGTGATCGCGGGCCATTGAGGCAGACTCCATCTCCACAGCAACCCGCGACCACCACCCATCCTTGCAGTGCCTCACGGCTCTCCGAACGTCCAAGCGAAGGCTGCGGTAAGCCTCCTCCTTCTCTGACGTGGGATGCTGTAGACAATTAGAGTGGGTCTGTCGCTTTTTCTCAACTACCCTGAACACCTCTGTCAGCCAGGGTTTCTGGGGAGGTCTGGATTGCGTACTTAAGCAGCCATTGCACCTGCATGAGTCACTTACCCTCGACATCTGGAGGAGTGGGGGACGATGCCAACCCCAGCCGCAAGCGATGATGAAATTCTCGCTTGCAACTTTCATTAGCTAGCTGAGGTCAGGCCACCTTAGTTTGGAATGGGGTCCTGGGTGTACACCCACCACCGGAGTGGAAGAATGGCAGGCGCATCTTACAGATGACAAGTCGATGGTCAGAGGGCAGATCAGCTCCACGGTAGGTCCTGGTGTCAAGGACATGGGCTCGCATCCGCTGGTCCGTCACTATGTAGCCCAGCAGATGTTCTTGCTTGGACCCGGCGTGCATCCATGTTGTTGTGTGGATGCGCCGATGCCGGAAGAGCGTGTTGGTAACTACAAGCCCATGGGCTGCACAAAAATCTAGCAGCCTCCTGCCGTTGTTATTGAGCTAATCTGGCCCAAGCCTTCCAATCACTCCAGACCAAGTGCCAGTATCATGACCAACTCGGGCATTGAAGTCACCCAACAAGATGACTCTATCCCGAGGGGCCACTTTAGCTAGCACCTGTGACAGGAGGTCATAGAAGGCATCTGACACATCGGCCTTGCCTGCATCTCTCCACAGATGTTCGTCTTCAGTGGGGGCATAAGTAACCACGACCACCACTCCTCACCTCCGGTTGATGGGAAGGCGAGCCCAAAGTAGCCTGGCTCATAGCTTTCCACACCTCACCGCCACGCTCCCACACTGCCTTCATTCTTTTGTTCAGAAGAAGAGCCACTCCCTGTTGTTTAGTAGTCTCCTGCCCTGAGCAGAGGACTGTCCACCCTCATAGTGGCTGGAGCCGGAGCCGGTCCACTGGACCGCCTGAATGTCACAGAGATCTAGGCGGTACCGGTCCAGTGCCCGACAGAGGAGTGGCAGCCTCTCCTCCGCAGTGAGCGTTCGCACATTCCACGTGGCCATCCGTAGTGGTTTTTTGTTGTTTCTCGAGGTAGAGATTCAATCTCCTAGCTCCGTCAGATGGGGTTTAAGCAGGAGACGTCATAGACACCTGTCCCCTCGGGGCCTCCGGCACAAGCTTATTAATTAGATATCTTAGACGTGGTTTAGTTGTGATTTATTGAAGGTGGAGGGAGTACCACGCTCTCGCATCCGTCCAGAGCTCCCAGGGGAAAGTCTAATAGGAATTGGCCCTCCCCCCACAGCACTGTCCACGACAACGTTGCCCGTCCGGCACCACGAGGAGGTAGGGGGTTGTTTTGACGGACACACACAGTAACAAGAACAACAACCACCATTCGCCACTTAGTGGCGGTGACGTCACCATGGCGCTTGTGCCAGGCTATGTGCACGGGGTTGACTCAGGTGCCATGGGTCGACTGACTCAGCTGACTGGCCGATGCATCACCTGTACCCCCGACTGTGCCAACACACAGTGTACACACAAACACACACAGTTTGTACACACAGTGTACACACACAGTTTGTACACACACACAGTGTGTACACATACACATTGTATACTCAGTGTACACACACACAGTGTACACACACACACACACACAGTTTGTACACACAGTGTACACACACAGTTTGTAAACACACACAGTGTACACACACAGTTTGTACACACACAGTGCACACACACACAGTTTGTACACACAGTGTACACGCACACAGTGTACACACACAATAATGTTCACGTTGTTGTTGAGCTCACACACCCAAGGGGTCTCTGTTCAAGAGAGGCAACAATAGAAATGTAATCTAAATAAACTTAAACTCTAACCCTGACCTCGCTCTCTGACGTCACCACTCATTAACTTGTCGGCGCGAGACGCCAGGGAGAGCTGTACCCCGCTAGTGACGTCATGTCACCAAGGTATTCAACCCCCCAACCCCCCCTAGACCGCGCTTTTGAGCGTGACGTCACGTCTAGTTGGTCACTGTCGATTTCTGTTCCAGTAAAAATCCTTTTTTGGGAAAAGCTAGTTCATTGCAACGGGTTCAGCAGCCAAGCCCAATCACCCCACGTGGGCCCGGTTCATTAACATAATTTATTCAATTACACAGCTGCTTGTTGGGGGAGGGGATTGTGTGATGAACTCCGCTAGTGACGTCATGTCACCTCCTGCTGCCGCGTGACGTCACGATATATCCGGAAGCTGTTGCACTGCGCGCGCGCTCACTGAGATCCGAGGTGAGAAGTTGACATCGTGGTTGTTGTTGTGGTGGTTGTTGTTGTTGTTTACTCAGGCAGAGCCTCGCTCCTCTCATAGGGATATCAATTGAGTAGCAGCGATGTCCAGGTTGGAACATTACAACGCGGGGCCTACCCATGCGGGGCCTTGCCTCCTGCCCTCGCCTGATTGCATTTGCTTTAATTCTCTGCTTAAGTTTAATTTGTCTTCATCTGGCTCACTACTTTGAAACTTTGTTTCTTTTAATTATTTCTACAGTTTTTTTTATCCTACCAGGCCAAGTCCACTTCAGCTGCTATACCGCTCTTGTTTTCAGAAGCGACCTACCGACAACAAAGTGGCTTATCAACGTGTGGAAATGTATGTCGGTCAAATACTCTAAACGTGTGGTGATGTTTACTCTAAATGTGGAGGGGAAAACCCTGAGGATCCGGAGGAAAATCCACGCGACCACGGGGAGAGAGAGAGACACGCAAACTCCAAATATACAGGAGGGGTCGCGATCGAACCCACCACCTCCTGTAATCCATGAGAGGCAGTAAACATCTCCCAGCCACCATGGTGCACACTCGAGTACATGACCACAATGAGTCTCAGCACTCTAATTCAGGAGCGTTCTGCCGAGTTGGTTTTGCTGATGCACCCTTTAGACCGATGAACAACTATTTTTATAATTGTTTTTTTACCCTTTTATCTGGCAACAAAACTGACACCTTCTTTACGAGGAGTCATGTTTGCATAGACCACAATACCTGCAGTCATAATGCAAACAAAAAACATAACTCTGATAATGTATGCACTGTCCTTGAAGTTGATTGGTCCACACCCGAGACAGTTTTCCTTAGAGCCTAGTCTCTCTCTCGGATGGTGCATTGTCTTTGAGTTGTGCGCCTTTTGGCGTCATCTGGTCCAACACCATGTGAGACTAGGCTCTAAGGAAAGCTGTCTCGGGTGTGGACCAATCTACTTTAAGGACAGTGCATACATTATCAGAGTTATGTTTTTTGTTTGCATTATGACTGCAGGTATTGTGGTCTATGCAAACATGATTCCTCGTAAAAAACGAGTCAGTTTTGTTGCCAGATAAAAGGGTAAAAAAACAATTATATTTTTTAATGGCAAATGAGATTCAAATGGTGTAAACTATTTTTATATTACCAACCAAGGCTCACAGAGCTGTTAGATTATTTGTCAGAAGCCACCTGGCCATAGATGATAGCTCAACGAAATGGCTTTTCACGTGGAAGATTGTAGCAGCCAAATAATCTAAATGCATGTTACTAAATGTGGAGGGGAAAATCGAAGGACCCGGAGAAAAAATAATCCGAGTGAGCGAGTGTACTCATTTGTGTTAGTGTACTCCGTGAGCGTACTCTGCGTGCGTGGGTTCGATTCCAACCCTGACGCATTTATAATTGCAGTTTACATTTTTTTTTTCTCTCCCTGTAGTGGCATTGATTTTTCTCAACATTTAGAAACATGCATTTTGAGAATTTGGCTGCAAAACATTTCCATATTATAACCCACAAAGTTGAGCTATCATTTGTGTCCAGGTCGATTCTGAAATAGAGCTATGCAGCTCAGATGGCCTCACCTGGTAAAATAAAAATAGTGTACTGTGTTTGAGGGTTTTCCAATTTAATTTCTTACTTAGCAGTTAAAGATTATGTTTCAGGAGGGTCCTGCATTGGACTGTTTGACCACCACCAAATATATTTTGAGTTTAGGTTTGGGAGAAAAACGGAAAACCCAGTGGAACACCAATGCCGACGGTGACGGCCGACGCCAGGATAGCGGCCACGGGCTCGAAACGAGGGCAACCCGGCTCTTGTCCCAAGAAAGGAATCCGCTCCCCGCTGCCCTCCACGGCGGGGCTGCACGTTGAGCCCCAACTTTTCTAGGAGGTTGGTACCTGCAATACAATACACTCGTGGCATAACACGCTCGACACGTATAACTCCTGGTTACACACCTGGTGTCCGAGGCGACCCTTAAGGGTGACCCTCCCCAGCAGTCCCATCCCACTTCCACTTGCAGTGTGCAGCGCACGATCTGGGGCCTGTAGGCGGCTCACATCAACCCCGACCACGCTGCAGTGTGTTGCACTCACGAGTGACGTTACCGCCCCCCGTGTCCAGCAGAATCTGGGTACGCCGCCTGTTCACCTGCCCTTCCACGAGCAACGTGGCCCCCATTATTCCTGCCACAAGCTCCCGCAGCCAGTCACCCGCAGTCGCCGCATTCTGGGGTGTTGTTGTCTGCATCTGCCTGGGGGTCACTCGCTCACCATTATCACGACAGTTTATTTGTGTTGGGACCACGTCGATTGCACCCCTCTGTGGTCCCCTCTTTAGGGAGGCCTTGGTGTTTAACCCTGGTGCTTCTCTCGCGCGGGCGATCTGGGGACTGTCTCTCACGAGATGCCCCCATTGGTCGCATAGATAGCACGCACGGGGAAGGGCGGTGGCTCCATAGGAGGCCCCTTGTCCACTCCCCCTTACCCTCCCAGTGCGCATTTGTTCGAGTTCTGCCTCCTATTGAGATACTCGCCTGGTTAGCCCCCCGACCATAGAGCGTAGCCCTCCCACCTCGGACTGGACTATCTCCGCTGTGGACTGCAGCTTGGTCACATTCAGGTGTACTTGGGTCACCTCCCCACATACTTGGGTTACCTCCTCACGTACTTGGGTCTCATGGCCTGTGATCTCCTATGCCGGTCTGTATCCTTGCCACCCATCCTGGGGTTGTCTTACGGGGTCCCGGAGGCTTCCTCCTTCCATCCCCCCCCCCTCACCTCCTCCTCTGGAAGAATACTTGCAATGGTGCTATCCTGTCCCAGCCGTCGGAATTCCGCACGCAAATCTCTCACACACACGCGTGCTCGGCAAGGGTGTTAGATGGGGGATTAGGGCAGATCGCATCTGGCTGCCACCCCGTTGTGCTTGTCAGATACTGCTGAACTTTCGCGGTGGTGAGGTCATCGATGATCTCGGCAGTGTATCCCAGGCGTGCGCTCTGTGTTCGCAAGCGTGATTTATTTTCGTGCGCGCTCACTGAGATCCGAAGTGAGAAGTTCACATCGTGGTTATTGTTGTCGTGGTGGTAGTTGTTGTTTACCCAGGTAGAGCCTCGCTCCTTCTCTGTCTTGTAGGGAGGCCGCTTTGGATTGCACTACTCTTCGATTTCACATTAACATGCTAATTTATTACATTAACATCACTAGCCCCGGCCACTTCTTTATGACCCTTGGGCTACACCCATTTCAAACCTTTTACAACAGTCTGCCTCAGCAGCAGACCATGCATTTTCTATCAGTGTTTTTGTTTGCATTCTGACCACAAGTATTGTGGTTAATGCACACATGATTCCTTGTAAAAGGTTTCAGTTTGGTGTTTTAACATCTTAACACCTGTTTCGTTGCCAGAAAAATGGGGAAAACCTATTCTCATATTTTGGTACTGGCAAAGGTCCCATGATAAAATATTGCAGTATATTAGAGGTGAGCCGTGCGTGTGTAGAAAGGACAGTAAGGAGCCGGAAGTTAATGAATTTTGTGGCAAAAATGCAGGCCTGATAATATGTAAGGATAATGTGGTAAATGAGAAAAATATAGCAGCAGCGGGGTGTTGGAGTGTGCAGGTGTTACAGGTGTTGAAGGTGAACAGGTAAGCTAAAAATTGTGTGAAAAACATAATAACTTTCCCTTGAGTACGCATGGAATTTTTGATGTGTGTATGTTTCAAAGTGTTGGCGCAATTTGGTTCTCAAAAAAACACACAGAGTGCTTAATTTATATACATTTATACTCATCTTGGAATGTTTTGTATACGGTTTCTCCACATTTATTTCAGTAATTTAGTTTATTGGGAGTACAGTACTTATTTAAATTGTGATGTATATTTTAGTTGCCGTTAACCTCACCCCATTATTTAGGTAAGGCTTTAGTATTGAACATCGGCATTTTAGCTTTCGCACGGCACTTTTCAAGAATGTAACCTCCGCGCTATTCAAGGGGCTGCTGTATTTTCTGTCCATCAGCTATAGCACAGGAGTACGGATTTCAGCAGAAACTAGTTTTCTGCTTTCTTGGTGTAATTACGGCCTATAATACCATAAAGAGGCTTGGGGTTTTGGATTGTTTTTTGTTTTCGATATCTCTGCCTCTGCTCACATTCGTTGAGGATTTTTATGATTTTTGGATGGCCCTTCTAAAGCTGCGTGACCAGGAGTCGGATCCCTTTCCTGTTCAATTTGGTTTGTGGCTGAAATTCCCTCTGGCCCCATGCATTACATTACGTAGCATTTTCAAATAATTGTGTTTTGAGAAGCTCGGAATGGCCCTATAAAAAATGCATTTCATACAGTAACAATGATACGCTAATCGATGCCTGGCTGAAGTCAAGGGATTGTCCCCTGCTGGACAACTTTGTTACGCATGTTGATGATCTGGTCATGGCTACTCAATGACATTGAGTTGGAGAATCTTGTTCTGTACCTGGAGAATTCCATGACGAAATGGGGCCTTGCATATGTTCTACAAAAAGATCACCTCCCTGGGAAAAGCTTGACTTAACGCTTTCGTGACTGCAGGAATTCATATTCTTTGGGTCTTTCGGTAAAGTGACGTGACTTTACCGAAAGACCAAAAGAACACCTCCCTGGGAATTTAATGTCATACAACACTGCACCTGCTCAGCTCTCCATGAATAATCAGGTAGTTCTACACGTGGTGGAGGAGCTCCTATACCTGGTTAATGTGTTCACGACCAGCTCTGGTTTGGCATCCAAAGTCTCACTTCAAATTAGTTTAGCAGCATTCTTTCATTAGGCTCTGTAACACTGTTGGAGCTGCCTGGACTTTTTATCTATACCAATGTAATAAACCTTCTTGAGACGGCTTCCGGAATCAGTCCTTTTTATTTTCAACTTCCACAGTTACACTTCACACACTCCCCGTTGCTGACAGACAACGGAAAGCGGGCAGACTTCCCGCCAAGTCCCCACCGCGCACGTGGCACCCAGAGCCCCGTACGCGCGTGACTCCTGCTCTTCTCGTTCCCAAGTCTGCTCCCGACTTCTCTCTCCCTCTCTCTCTTAATCCCTTCGTCACGTGGTACCCCCCAGCCAATCCTCCGTAGACAGCGTTGACCGTTCCCGATGGTTCCCTGTCAATCCCGGGACCACGCCTCTGATCCGGCTTCCCATTAGCTGAGGCCCCGATTGTCCAGGCCAATCACCCCTGCTAACATGCCGTGATCACGCCGAGGCCATGCTCCCTGGCTCACCCCTTATTGGCTACAAAGCGGGACCGGCAAGCCAATCCCCATGTGAACCCTCTATGGCTGTTATTACACAAAGCTGTGAGTGTCCATCGCCAAGGTCTAGTCCATTGCAAAGGTCTCGTCAAAAAAACAGGCAATAGTCTACATTATAGACTGCCAATACACTCGCCGAGGTTAAGAACCAGGCTACAGTCTACATTAGTCGTTTTTTTTTCTTCTATTCACTTTATTTGTATTATTATTTTCTATCTATGTGACTTTACCGAAATAACCAGAGAATATGAATTCCTGCTGTCACGAAAGTTTTAAGTCAAGATTTTCCCAGGGAGGTGATCTTTTTCTAGAACATATGCAAGGCCCCATTTCATCATGGAATTCAACAGGTACAGAACAAAATTTTATAAGAATGGAAACAGTCAGGAAATTAACACTGCACATATGCAGCTTAAGTTAGATCTGTTCATCCTCGCATTCAAGCTCATCTGAGCCTGGCTTCACACCTCTAAGTTGCAAATGAACATTAATTTATACATTTCTGCATAATACAAATAGTATTCTTTTCAACAGGCTTTGCTATGTTAGCTAATTTTTCTTAAATAAATATTCCTGTTGTAGCTAGACAACCAAAATTGTGTGCTTGGAGTTTTTGGTAAACATTAATTTTGAAGACACTAGGGTGTCCAGGCATATCTATGACCATTTGCCCTCGCATTGTGTGCCATAACAGCCCGTGTGATGAATTGGGGAATCTCTTTCACTATATCATAAAAATATGAATATGTATAGATGTGTAAGTCATGTGTGACTGTGTATATATGCATTCCTCTGTGCCTCAATACTCACATAGATGGTGTGGACATGCTTTTCTGTCTGCAGCTGACCCTCGCTCTGCAGAATTGGCCTGATGGAGCAAAGGCACTCAGCGCAGTTCAGTACAAGAAGGAAACAATGCGACCAGCATGCAAACAGCACGGATCGTACTGGAAACTTGACACAGCACCAGAGAACACACACAGGAGAGAAACTTTTTAAGTGCACTCTGTGTAGGAAGGCGTTTACAAAGTCATCAAATCTTAAGACCCACCAGAGAACACACACAGGAAAGAAACCTTTCAAGTGCACTGTGTGTGAGAAGGCGTTTGCACAGTCATCACATCTTCAGACCCACCAAAGAACACACACAGGAGAGAAACCTTTTAAGTGCAGTGTGTGTGAGAAGGCGTTTGCACGGTCATCCATTCTTAAATCACACCAGAGAACACACACAGGAGAGAAACCTTTTAAGTGCATCGTGGATTTTTGTTACAGATTTGTATTCTAGCCTAGGTTTTATTGAATTTTAACTTCTATTTAAATAAAACTTTAGATATATCTGTCTGCATTGATATCCCACCTTGTTTACCACATGTTTACCTATATATGTAGACGCTCCCTCTGAAGACGTCACCTCAAATTAACGAGTGGGTTACGTCAGGGCCTCCCCCTCTCTCTGGCTTGTGATGTCACCAAGAGCAGAACTCGCCTCCACGGAATCTAACGCCTGCTCTGTCTTGGAATGCATTTACACAGTAATCAAATCTTCACAACTGCCAGGGAACACACATTAAAAACCACTTAATGTACAATTGGAAGGCCTTTTGAATTGTCTTGAAACTGAAACACGTGTAAGGAGGTCTACAAGGAGCAGAGTCTGAGATTGACGTGTGAAATTTGAAGTTCCATAAGCCCATCGTTTGTGATGCAAGGACCCAATAAAGATGGCAGCTGGGAAACGTCACCATTCGTGAAGGTGACCTGTGAAGGCTCTAGGGTTTGACTTCCAGGTCACTAATGGAGCCCGAGACAAATCACATCCATTTGTGGATGTGGAGTTTTGGGAGGACTTTTCGGACAAGGTCGAGTAGAAGCAGACAGCATGTGTGACCATAAGTGTTGGGTAGACCTGTAACCAAAAGCATGAGACACGGTTTCCCAATCTTTATTTCAATTGTTTAATTTTTAGTTGATTTGGAATACAGTACGTATTTTAATTGTGATGGAAATTTTAGTTGACGTTTACCTAACGCCATTACTTGGGTAAGGCTTAAGTATTGAATATCGCGTTTCTAGCTGTCGCGCGGCATTTTCCAAGAACGTAACCTACGATATTCAAGGGGCGGCTGTATTTTCTGTCGATCGAGTACAGCAGGCCTATGGTACCCTAAATAGGCTTGGTGCTTTGGGTTCCTTGATTTCGATGTCTCTGCCTCTGCTCACATTCGTTGAGGATTTTTATGATTTTGGGCAGGCCCATCTAAAGCTGCGTGACCAGGAGTTGGAACCATTTCCTGTTCAACTCGGCTTGTGACAGAAATTCACTCTGGCCCAATGCATTACATTTGTAATGTGAGGTTACACCTGGATAATAATGATGGGCTCTGCCGGCCTCAGCCCGCAACCAATGGGGAGTCGAGTTAGGGGCGTGGCCCTGGAGCCGTACATTAGCTTCGGGAAAGTTCCAGGGGTGTGGCTGAGGATTGGCTGCGGGGCATCACGTGGGCCAGGGATTTAAAGGAGCGGAGAAGCCACGTGGCTGGTGCCGTGGTCCGGAGCCTGCCACGTGGCGGGCCGCCGCAGTCTCTCTCTCACGCTGTCAGCCAACAGCGTGAAGGAGCAAGGGAACTGGAGGAACGAATGTGGTGGAAGCTGTGAACAAAACTGAATAAAGAATTCTCAATTGACGTCTCAACGGGGTTTATTACACATTACATAGCATGTTCAATAATTACGTAGTTTGAGGAGCTCACAATGGCCGTATAAATAAATTGCATTCGTCGCGGTTAAAAATAATATGCTTATCGATGACTGGTTATAGTTAAGGGAATATACTGGTAGGAACGAAGTGAACCAGCCTACAATAGATTATATCGTCCGTCCGTCCGATGTCCGATTACGTGTAGCAACATCGCCCCCTACTGCAAACACTTGGCAGGACCCTACAAAAACCTTTAGACTCAGTGAGGCTTTCCTGGCTAAACAAGTGTAACATTCCCTTATAATTACCTGAGATAGTTTAAAATTAACTCACAGCGGCCTAAAGCCTACAGCTAGGCCTAAAGCCTAGAACTAGGCCTCAAACTCTCCCTTCGTATCGTACCCCCGCCATTTTATTTTATTATAGCCATTCATTTGTTCGTTCCTACCAGCCCACCCCGCAGGGACCTGTTTCCCTGCTGGTCAGCCCTGTTGCATCTGCTGATGATCTGGTAATGGCTACTCAATGAGATGGCTGGCTGAGGTGTCAGGCTATGTGCACGGGGTAGACCCAGGTGCCATGGGTCGACTGACTCAGTTGACTGGCCGATGCACCATCTGTACCCCCGACTGTGCCAACACACAGTGTACACACATACACACATAGTTTGTACACACAGTGTACACACACAGTGTACACACACACACACAGTTTGTACACACACAGTGTACACACACAGCGTACACGCACATAGTACACACACACAGTGTACACACACACAGTGTACACGCACAGGGTACACACACACAGTTTGTACACACAGTGTACACGCACACAGTGTACACGCGCACAGTTTGTACACGCGCACAGTTTGTACACGCGCACAGTTTGTACACGCGCACAGAGTGTACACGCGCACAGAGTGTACACGCGCACAGAGTGTACACGCGCACAGAGTGTACACGCGCACAGAGTGTACACGCGCACAGAGTGTACACGCGCACAGAGTGTACACGCGCACAGAGTGTACACGCGCACAGAGTGTACACGCGCACAGAGTGTACACGCGCACAGAGTGTACACGCGCACAGAGTGTACACGCGCACAGAGTGTACACGCGCACAGAGTGTACACGCGCACAGAGTGTACACGCGCACCGAGTGTACACGCGCACCGAGTGTACACGCGCACCGAGTGTACACGCGCACCGAGTGTACACGCGCACCGAGTGTACACGCGCACCGAGTGTACACGCGCACCGAGTGTACACGCGCACCGAGTGTACACGCGCACCGAGTGTACACGCGCACCGAGTGTACACGCGCACCGAGTGTACACGCGCACCGAGTGTACACGCGCACCGAGTGTACACGCGCACCGAGTGTACACGCGCACCGAGTGTACACGCGCACCGAGTGTACACGCGCACCGAGTGTACACGCGCACCGAGTGTACACGCGCACCGAGTGTACACGCGCACCGAGTGTACACGCGCACCGAGTGTACACGCGCACCGAGTGTACACGCGCACCGAGTGTACACGCGCACCGAGTGTACACGCGCACCGAGTGTACACGCGCACCGAGTGTACACGCGCACCGAGTGTACACGCGCACCGAGTGTACACGCGCACCGAGTGTACACGCGCACCGAGTGTACACGCGCACCGTGACGTCACCGCTCATTAACTCGTCGGCGTGAGACGCCAGGGAAAGCTGTTCCCCGCTAGTGACGTCATGTCACCAAGATATTCAATCCCACCCCCTCCACCGCGCTTTTGACTGGCGGTTCATTAACATAATTTATTCATGAAAACCGTCGCTATTTCATTGCGACGGGTTCAGCAGCCAAGCCCAATCACTCCACATGGGCCCGGCTCATTAACATAATTTATTCAATTACACCGCTGCTTGTTGGGGAGGTGATTGTGTGATGAACCCCGCTAGTGACGTCATGTCACCTCCTGCTGCCGCGTGACGTCACGATATATCCGGAAGCTGTTGCACCGCGCGCGCGCTCACTGAGATCCGAGGTGAGAAGTTCACATCGTGGTGGTTGTTGTTGTTGTGGTGGTTGTTGTTGTGGTGGTTGTTGTTGTTGTGGTTGTTGTTGTTTACTCAGGCAGAGCCTTGCTCCGTCTCTCTCTCGTAGGGATATCAATTGAGTAGCGGCGAGTATGGAATCGATGTCCAGGTTGGAACATTACAACGCGGGGTCTGCTTAAGTTTAATTTGTCTTCATCTGGCTCACTACTTTAACATTTTTTAAAAATTATTTTTACAGTTTTTTTTCTCTTACCAGGCCAAGCCCACTTCAGCTGCTATACCGCTGTTGTTTTCAGAAGCGACCTGCCCACAACAAAGTGGCTTATCAACGTGTGGAAATGTCTGTCGGTCAAATACTCTAAACGCGTGGTGATGTTGACTCTTAATGTGGAGGGAAAAACCCTGAGGATCCGGAGGAAAATCCACGCGACCACGGGGAGAGAGACACGCAAACTCCAAATATACGTCCTTAATACAGGTTTGTTTGGGTTAGGTCGCGTAAAAATAAAAATGTGTCGGTAAACCCGACAGCCAATTAGAAAGGGGTTGTCACATAAACAGCACGTGGCCAATTCGTCACTATTGCAGCACTACACCGGTTGTGTGTTGGAGAGCCAAGCCACAACATTTACAATCTGAGTACGACGTTTCGCCAGTAATTACAACCAGCTTCAGCAGGCGACAACCAAATGCTGTGGCTTGGCTGTGTGGAAATATAAATCGGCTCACTGGGATTATAGCTCAGCATGCTAAGCGTTGCACTACCGCACAAACATCATTGAAAGTATATTGATCAAACATGAGTAATGTCTTGCCATGCTGGCTTTGTTAGAATAATTGATTTCTGACAATGAAGTCGGTAAATGTGTTTTTTGTAACGGTTCTTAGGTTGTGTTATAAAATCGCAGGGCTTGTTTGTTTAATAATTAGAGCAGCTTTTAAATCGTTGCCCTTGGAGAGTTTCAGGATAGACATTGTTGGATGTATTCCCATCTGATGGGTTTAATTGAATGAAGCTTAAATTTTGGCATACATGTCGACAGCAAATTGGTGAAAGCGCTCTTTTCATCTCAAGAAGATATTGAAGCCGCCGTTTCATACCATGATCCTGAAGGCAAAGACCTCCATGGCGGAAATCGTATGTTTTTTTGGCAAGCCTGTTGCTGGGTCAGTTTGGCGGAGTAGGAAATGGTAGCCATCATCACCTTGCAGGGTTTGCATCTTGGTGTTGATGACATTGTTGCAATGTGTTGTCAGACATGCAAGGAGATCTGTGAGAACAAATATAGCAGTGCAGTGGAGACACTTATGTTATGGTGAGTGTGTGGAATTGTAGTAGATGAAATGTCAAAATGAGTTTGCATGTGTGGCAAACCGAAAGTATTGAGAATGCCCCGGACTTTAACACATGGCAAGAGAAGGCGAGGGCGGGAGGTGAGGAGCGGGGGGGGGGGGGGTATAGGTGTTGAAGGTGAGAAGGTAAGCAAACAATTGTGCCAAAAACACACTAACTCACCCGTGAGTGTGCGTGGAAAGTTTGGGGTGTGTTGGCGCAATTTGGTTCACTAAAAATCTACACAAGTGCAAAGTCTGCTTTATCTTCATAGATTTATACTATACAATGTTTCGTCTTGGAATACTTTTTGTATACGGTGTCTTCTTTATTTCAATTGTATAGTTTATTTGGAATACAGTACAGTACTTCATTCAATTGTAAAATTTAGTTGACGTTTACTTAACGTCATTACTTAGGTAAGGCTTAAGTATTGAATGTCGCGCTTTTAGCTTTCGAGCGGCAATTTCCAAGAATGTAACATCCATGGTAACCTAGGGGCTGCTGTATTTTCTGTCTATTGACTACAGCAGAGGCTTACGGATTTTCAACATAAACTAAATCTCTGCATTCTTAATTAAATTAAGGCCTATAGTACTATTAAGAGGCTTGGGGATTTGGGTTGTTATTTGTATTCATATCTATGCCTCTGCTCACATTTGAGGATTTGTTTGATTTTGGGCAAGATGGTCTAACGCTGCGTGACCAGGATTCCGAGCCATAACCTGTTCAACATGGCTTGTGACAGAAATTCACTCTGGCCCCATGCATTACATTACATAGCATATTCAATTACTATGTAGTTTGAGAAGCTCCCAATAGTCATATACAAACCATTGCATTTGTTGCGGTTACAATGATACGCTAATCAATGCCTGGTTATAGTTAAAAGATCGTTCCCTGCCTGGTAAACCATGTTTCATCTGCTGATTATTTGGTAATGGCTACTCAGTGAGATGGAATTAGGGAATCTTGTTCTGTGCCTTGATAATTTCATCATGAAATGGGGCCTTGCAAATGTTTCACAAAAATAAATGACATACAACACTGCACCTGCTCAACTCTACGTGAATAATCAGGCAGTTCTACAAGTGTTGGAGGAGCTTCCATACCGGGTTGATGTGTTCACGACCAGCTCTGGTTTGGCAGCCAAAGTCTCATTTAAAATTAGTCGAGCAGCATTCTTTCATTAGACTTTGTAACACTGTGTGGAAGGTGCCTGGACTTTTGCTCCATACAAAGCTTTGAGTGTCCATCGCCAATGTCTAGTCCATCTGAGACCATCCCTCTCCCTGCCATACTGGCATCGCACCCGCCTCTCACCCTTCATCCTGTGGATGTTCGACGCACGGGATGGCACCACTTAGCCAATTCGAGTTGGCCTTAGTGAGTTACGTGGGTCACACAGCCACGAGGCGCTTGTTTTGTGAACACAACCCCTGGGCCTGGCTCTATGGGTGATATCAATATAGATTATAAGTAAGAATGCTCCCCAATAGACTCCCCCTGGAACTCTACCAGACACGTCCCACTGGGCGAAGACTCCGGGGCTGGCCCAAGACTATGTCGCTCGGCTGGCCTGGGAACACTTTGGAATTCTCCAGGATGAGCTAGAACAGGGGTGGGCAAACTTTTTGACTCGCGGGCCACAATGAGTTCTAAAATTTGACAGAGGGGCCGGGCCAGGAACAGGTGGATGGAGTGTTTGTGTGAACTAATATAAATGACATGTAAAAATCATTACATGAAAGGATTTGGCCTTTAACAGGTAGCAAAGCATTTATTTGCAAGGCAATTTAACAAATTGCACAAACATGAACAATACAAAAACATGTCGTAACGTGACTGATCAAACATCATGAAAACATCTGAGGCCTGCGCCAAACCAATTACCTCACTTGAACTTCTTTATTATCTACATTAACACGTTAGAGCAGCCACGCAGGCTGTGTCTCGGAGATTTGGCTCCAACCTCGCTGCAGCAACACATCATCACTTTCAGTTTCAGTGGGAACTTTTGTTGATCTCCCATTTTTGGCAGTGCATCCTAGTCTGGAGTTATTTTGGTTGTGGCAATTCTCAGGATAGATCTGAGGTGCTGATCCGTTAACTATGATCTGTGACGGGCTTTGTTGGCGTTCATGACGCTGAATGTCTGCTCACACACATAAGTCAAGCCAAACAAAGTCAGTATCTTCTGTGCAGTCCTCCGGAGGTTTGGAAACGTGGCTCTGTTAAGTGAAGCATAAAAGTCATTCAGTTTAACAGAGTTGAACTTCTCCTTTAGGACGGAGTCAGACTGAAGATCTATCAGTTCCAACTGCAGCTCATGTGGTGCTGTTTCAGGGTCTTGTGACAGGGGACAGGACACCAGCTGAAGTGGCTGTTCAATGTTTTAGAAATCAGAGAACCTACGGCAGAATTCTCCGTGCAGGTCCTCAAGTGATTTGCTGTATTTTTTTGCGTTTCGCGGTGCCTCCTCCTGCATGGCAAGTGTGGGGAAATGAGCAAAAGATTTTTTGTTCGCAATTTGTCCGGAGAACAAAGTGAGCTTGGATTTGAAGGCTTTCACATGTTTGTACATGTCGTGAACAAACTGATCTTTCCCCCTGCAGTTTCACATTCAGCTCATTCATGTGTGAAAATATGTCCACAGCAAACACAAAGTCACTAAGCCAGTTCTTGTCGCTTAGCTCAGGGAATTCGTCAGATTTCCCCATCAACTCCAAAAATGCGATGATGTCCTCTTTCAGCTCCCACACTCGTTGTAACACTTTCCCTAAACTTAACCAGTGGACACGAGAGTGGTACAGCAAGTCCTGATGATCCGCATCAGTTTCCTCCAGGAAGGTAATAAACTGACGGTGCTGAAGTCCCCTTGCTCGTATACAGTTCACAAGTTTTACGACTGGATTCACGACATGATTAAGCTGCAATACAGACTTACACAGGGATTCCTGATGGATGATGCAGTGAAGGAAAATAAGATCCTGGACGGAGTTTTCCTCTTTCACTTTATCCTGGATTCTTTTCAGCAGCCCAACATTTTTTCCAGTTAAATTTGGCGATCCATCCGTTGTGACAATGACAAGTTTACTCCAAGGTAGCTTCATTCTTTCGATGACAGCAGATATCTGGTTATACAAGTCCTCTCCCCGCGTTGTTGCTTTCAGGGACTCCATGGTCAAAAACTCCTCTGTTATCGCAAAACTGTCGTCAATCCCTCGGATAAAAATGATGAGCTGAGCAGTGTCTTTTATGTCCGTACTTTCATCCAGTGCTAGTGAATATAATTCAAAGGAATCAGACTTTTTGTTTAATTGACTGGCTATATTTTCATCAATCAGTTCCACACGGCGAATCACAGTCCTGCGTGATAAACTGACTTTTTCAAATTTTCTTTTGATCTCCGGACACAATATGTCTGCTGTCTGTACAATGCATTCTTTTACAAACTTGCCTTCGGAGAAAGTGGTAATGAGTGGTAATGTTGGTGAGAAGAAGGTTTTAACGAAAATTTAAATCGAAGTGAAGAAGAAAATTATTGAAAAGTTTGTATAATTAATGATTTTTCAAACTTTAATTATGTTTTCTGTGCTTAAAACTCTTTAACAAAAAACTGGGGTCTAGAACGGACTCGTGAAATTTGGAGAGAACTCGGAGTTAAGTTGTGTTTGTTTTGTTGAATTACACAAAGCGTAACAGTTATGTATATAACTTTTGTTATATAAAATTTCTAGTAAGATATTAATTTTGTGAGTGTAGTCATACCCCTCCCCCCTCATTCAAGCCGTAATTTAGATAGCGAAAGCGCCGAGTACGTAAATCGCTAACATAAGAACCCGTTAATCTCTTCTCGCATCATTCATACGATGATGCGGTGAAGTAAACGTTCATATGATATTACGGTGAATGCTTCCAAAAACAATACTGTACCCAAATATTACTGTTAACTTACTTTCAATAGAAACATGAATTGCTCATACGAATATTCTCTCTCTCAGAATCGACCGACTGATGTAGCAGACGAAACAATCATCTTGTTGAACGATTCTAAACCTTGATGCGTCAATGTTAGTTTTCTCTGTTCAAGGTTTTCTCAGTGTTATTAAATGTTTTTACATTTATTTTACTATTACACTGAA